AAGAATAACAAACGGTTTCCAAATTTTATTGTAACAATGATACAGCCGTTAATGTCACCGTTCGAGTTAAAAGAATACATTGCCTATGTGCTGTCTACCCGGAAAATGACTGAAAGCCATTTGTGAGTTGTATTTTTGGATCACACTTCTGGTTTCGTGATAAACCTTGAAATCAATTGTTTTCACTAACTCCTTTATTTCCTTTATCTTTTTCTCTTCTTTTTCCTCTAAACGCAACAACCTGCTGCAGCTTCTTATATAGTTCCCCACAATCTTTCTAGAAGATTCTACAGATTTACAACACGACTATTGACCACTATCAAAAATGGCTGCCGGATTAATATTCTTTAGTTTAAATTTGAATTAGTCTTTCTGGCCTCGCTTGAGATGATGTATTCTTTTGAATTTTGTACTGGAAAACGAGGCCAGAAAGGCTAATTTAAGATTCTACAGATTTACAACACGACTATTGACCACTATCAAAAATGGCTGCCGGATTAATATTCTTTAGTTTAAATTTAAATTAGTCTTTCTGGCCTCGCTTGAGATAATGTATTTTTTTGAATTTTGAACTGGAGAACGAGGCCAGAAAGGCTAATTTAAACTTAAACAAAAGAATATTAATCCAGCAGCCATTTATGAAAGTGGTCTATTGCCCATGTGCTCTGCCAGCGATATAATGCCATTAATTAACTTGTAGTTGGGCTTTACCTGCAAATGAATTAAACTCGAGTAAAAACAAAGAATACCAATTCCAGTTTTTAAAATTCCCCAGCTTTTCCTTGAAAAGTATTCGAGTTCAAATAAATACAATATGAAGTGAGCTGATGTCAGCTGGTTAATTTTCTGCATTGAGACAATCTAAAAAAATAGGGAATAAGCAATAGCAAAGCTAACATTTTTTCTCACCCACTTTTGTGGTCATCTTCCCTGAATGAGTGCCCGGCCTAAAAAAAAAAAAAAAGCACCCATCCCCCTTCTCCTAAGTAAGGAAACAGGTGGTGAGAAACTACAAACTTATCAGGTTGAAGTTGTTATCTTGAAATAACACCAAAGTCTTGTAACTAATTTGCGGGGAAATATGTATAGCTGCTAAAGATGGGTAACTCAACAACCAGTCATCTTTGGAGTTTTTAAAAGGGTCAAGAAATGTAGTACGCTAGCAGGAGAAGTTTAAACAAAAGGAGAATTTTTGTTATAACTGCATTAATAATAACATAGCATTAGGGCCAAGGAAATTGAGCAAAACCATTTGCATTAGCCAGAGAGTACTCTAGCGCTCTGTTGTCTGGTGCATAAACATCCTGCTGGTTTTTGCTATAAATAAACTGATGGGAGGAAAGCAGACCCTATTGAAGAGGCCCTGTTAGAGGGGTATAGATGTCGCCCGTCCTAATTGAAGAGGCCTTGTTAGAAGGGTATAGATGTCGCCCGTCTCAATTTCAAACTTTGTCGCGTCGCCATTTCGGAAGGTTCTGATATCGCTGTCGTGATCGAAGTCGCATTTTCATTTCCCCCATGTCGCTGTTTCAACGCCATGTCGCCCGTTAGAATTTATCCTATCGGCCAAATTTTTCATAGTCATTAAAAGCAATAACAAAATACAAAGTGGACAGGTTGAAGATATTATCAGTCTCATCCAACTTAATATGAGATTCCAAGACTGCAAGTTTTTTTTTTTTCTTTATCTGCCTGACCATCTCCTGACCTGTGGAACTATCCTGTTGCATTCACTCATCTTGTTAAAACTATTCATCACTGGATACCGAAAGCTGTGATCAGTACCTGACTATCACGAGGGTCAAATCCAGTCTCCAGTGAGTTGTGATTGGTAGATCATATTTCATCCATGACTTTTTAGTCTAGTCTAAATAATCAAATTGTCTGGTAACTAATTCCCTCATGACCAACTCGTGCATGAAGCACTTAATCTAAAGATGAAACATGGTTGTGAACTTGTAATTATTAGTTTTGCACCAAGGCAAGAATGCTCTTACCTCAAAAGCCATTAGCTTCCGGAAAATCACAGAGTTCCACAATAATTGTAGCGATCCAAATCCCCAGAATGATACAAGCATATAGAATCTGCAAAACCAGCCCAATTTCCGTTTGCAAAATTCGTCAAATTTAGACACTGCGATCCAAACCTTTCTACGCCAGAACAAGCCAAATTCCACCATTTTCCATTCCTATGTCATGTTTCGTCTTGTAAACGTCACGCAAAAACCTTTGTTTACATGGTTTTCTCCCGCTTGCATCTGATAGTAAACGTTTACATGCAACTTTTCTGCCTCGGGGCGAAAACAACTCAAAACGCATCTTAAGTGACCACTAGTTTTCTTGAGCGATTGAAATAACATTTGCGGCGATAAATTCCACATAAAGGCTTCTTCTTTAGGAAAGCACAAGATTATTTTTGTCCGTCCCTGATCGATCCAGCCGCCAATGTTTAAATATGAATTGAATTAAATCACGGTTCTTGCTTTATTACATTAATTCATAAACAATTGCGATTCTCAGCATTATGATTGTGCCTTTGCTAGATAAATTTTTGTTCACTTGGAAGGTGATAATTAACGCAATGATGCTTTGTATAAAATACGTATGATGCACGATTCTCGCAGCAGAGAGCGCTATTTATGCCATAGCGAAAATCAGACCTGAAAAAATCAGGCCTGTACGGGATTCGAACCACTGACCTCTGCGATACTAGTGCAGCGCTCTACCAATTGAGCTAACAAGCCAATTGGTAGATGATAAATCAGATACAATGAATATATGAAGTTCCTATATTTTGACCGCAGCTCAAAATATATGAGCT